AAGCCGAAATGAAGTGAGAGAAACCACCAAATGGTTCTTTGAAGGGAAACAGGGTTATCCATTCCAAATTCACCAGAATTAAACAACGCATCTTCCTCTACGTCGTTCAGTGCATCTGCAGCGTGAGGTTTGTTGCCTTTTCCATGCGAGTGGACTAGCGCCCGGCGTTTTGCAGCTAAAACTTTTCGAGATTCCTCGAAACATTTATCCTTAAAGATGTTGACATTTTCCTTTTTTTCACTTAAGTATCTCTGTATACTTCTTTGGAGATTGGAAACTGTATCTGTCTCATATTCTTTCCCGTCTTTTCTGCGAACCTCCATGAAGAACTTTGATAGAAGGTGATTGAGCTCGCTGGTCGGTTCACCATCCATGTTTACTGATTCTTGTTCTCTGTGGACAGTGTCCTTTTTATCTGCTTCTTGACTTCTGCCGTCATCCCTTTCTATTACAATGAGTTCGGTGTCCTTTTTATCTGCTTCTTGACTTCTGCCATCATCCCTTTCTATTACTGTGAGTTCGGTGCCCTTTTTATCTGCTTCTTTACTTCTGCGGCCATCCCTTTCTATTACTGTGAGTTCGGTGTTTTCGTCATCCTTGGCATCTTTTTGTAGTTCTCTCTCGTTTTCGCCATCCATGTTTACTGATTCTTGTTCTCTGTGGACAGTGTCATTTTTATCTGCTTCTTGACTTCTGCCGTCATGACTAAAAAATGACAAACGTGCCTAATTAGCATATCGTGTGCAGTGTTGGAAGGAGCTGAATGACTGTCGTTTTTCATGAGAATGGCGACAACTACTTCAATATTGCACGAACGAAGAAAGATTTTTTTTAACAATTAATGAAGAGGTGTTTTATCGCCTCAAACTATGACCGGAATGCATGAAACAGGTTTTTTGGAAGAAGCCATTGAGTGACAAAAACACATTTTTTTGTTTTTATTTCTGTATGGGAATAGATGTCCTCATGCATTAATTCTCAAACTCATTAATAATTCATGGCTTGCCGGCTTACAATAAAAAACCTGGGCMCGGGTCCATGGCCTACCTATTGGGCCACACTATGRCCTACCCATTTTYTCTGWAATTTTGAAATATCCAATGTTTCCAATATGAMAATAGCCATGACACAGTCTCTGATCTATCACAATAAGTATTGGGGGCCATATTTGAAGTTGAGAGGGAATTGTTCGATTTCTTTGATATTTAAAWTTTTTTCAATACTATAGTTAACAATGGAACAATGTATATGCCAATCACATTTTTATTCAAAAACCATTTTTCAAATGTGATCAACAATTAATATGTGTAGAATGTACCTTATAGAATGGGCCTTCTATTATTAGGCATGTGCTAAAACCTGGACTCATGGACGATGCATGATGGACGATGGACAGGACCCAATTTTTATCATTGAACTTTTTATATAATATCATATATAGTCTTACCTCGACTTTTAAATAACAGTTACTTTTCTTCTTACAAAGATATTGCWTTGAATTAATGAATGTGTTAGCTGCATGTTTCGTGTTCAGCCTTATTGTGCAGCGACTGCTGGTCGACTTTTGTCTAGTTCCTTATCTAATATGGCGATAAGGAGCTGCTTTGGCTCGTATTCTATTATCTGAACAAATACTTAAATGTCAAG